TGTTCTCAGGGAGAGATTTAATCTTTCTCCATAGAAGAATTGCTCCCAATTATGCGTGTCCGCATAAATAGTTTTAATCAGTGAAGAGGTGGAAATTGATCAATTCCCATAGTGTTTGCCCTAGTAAATCTCAAAAGTATATTAACGGGCTTTGGGGGTAACTGCGGTTGGGCCATGACTTCCAGAAAAGTTACACACTGAATAAAACTCCACAGATCAAGTTCTGAGTAGGTATTCTTTTATTGTAGACCAAATTTTCCTTCAGAAAAATGAGAGTTGAAGTGGACCAGATGACACAACCTGCGAAAGGATGCTGTAGTAATAAATTGGAGAGTAACCAGTAGTTCTGACAATAGCAATCTAAGGAGATTACAATTTCAAGTTGGAGAGAAGGTTTTGTGCCAGATTTTCCTTTTTTTACTAGGAAAAGAAGAAGAAAAAAAAAGCTTATTTTTGCAGTCCTTACTGCAGTTATACCTTTAACTTTCACATACTATGAAATCTAGATTTAAACCATCCTACAAATGCTGGATACACATGTATTCTACTCACAGAAAGCGCTCGTCATCATACAAATTGCTCAATACCTGCAAGTTGCATAGTTAGACTACATTTCAGTGATGGGAGAAAATGCAGAGAAAACCCAAAAGCTTCAGTGAAGTATCAATATTTGATGCATATATACATCTAAGCTTGTGGGCTCTTCTAGCTGCGTGCTGTATTTTTTCCATTTTCTTGGAGCTCAATGACAATGAATGAATCAATATAATAGTGAGAAAGGCAGAGTTAATTTCAAATTGTAATGCTTAAAGATATTTTTATCATGCCATTCATGTCACAGCCTGCCTGTCTCACTAAGATGTCATCTTATGACATCCAGCTACTGCAAAGTCAAGATTTAAGTTTGTTGGGATGCCTGTTGGCTTTGTTGGCAGGGCAGGGAAACTGGGGAAGCAGAGAGGGAGGAACAACACTTTCAGGCATAGATATTAACTCAAAGAAGGATTTAATAGAAGAGGAAATTTTATTTGTAATAGAAATTCTTGTCTCAATAAATTACATGTCCACATTGTATATTGACCAACGTAGTTGTTTTCACTTAAGTTTGTATATAGGCACACGTCTGATTAATTAGCACCTGGAATATTAATCATGTTTTCTACCTTATTACCTGCCTGTAATTAATTTAGGAATGCTCTGCTTTTTTGGAAAAAAATCTTTTAGCTCTTACCCATGTAATTTCTCTGCCTCAGCTGCATTTCTCAGCAGTGGCTGACTCTCTGGATCTAACTAACAAATAAGAAAAACATAGAGATCATCTCTCACCCAAAGCCTCACCAGGGATGGAAGAAATAGCTTCCAGAGAAAACCACCCCATTTTCAAACTTGTTTGTTTATAGTATAGAATTCTCTATATAGATTGCCTTATCACTTTCATCTCTAACAACTTGTCTTTATTTCTAAGATGACCTGTTATTTAACTGTTTCCACAGGAAATATTATGTCCTATATGTATTAGTGTTTAAGATGTGAATTAGCTGCCTTATTGCAACCTTCTGACCACAAACTCCTTGTATCTAGGCTGGTAAAAAAAAACCATTTTGCAGTAAAGACAGAGATGAACAACTTTCCAGCTGGTAATCCCTTGAATACCTTCTTTGCTCTTGACGATACGGAAAAAAAACCCAAAACAAACCCATCACAAGAGAGAATGATACATTATGGAACACAGCCAAGCAAAAAAAAAAGATTTGACCCTCGGAGTCCTAGTAGTGTAGGTGAGCGAAGAGTTTGCCAGTGTGAATGTAAGCAATGGATTCATCCGAGTTTGCCTTTAAACTATTTGTATCCAAACCAGGTTAGCTGTGGTGATTGGCCATCAAAGTTAAATTTTGGATTTAAGCCAGCAATTTAGCCTGAAGATATAAGAAGAAAAAAGAGAAAAGAGCTTGTAGAAAAAAGATATTAAATTTGTTGACATACCATCAGCTCATAACTTGACTTTCTGTTCTGGCTTTGGCTACAGGGAAAAGAGAAGTCACCAGCAAAGTATGTGCTAGGGTGTGTCGTTGTAGGCCATGAGGAAAACAAAGAACTGAAATTTAAATACATCAGCACTTACATTGCTGCAGTATCCTGTATGAGCTTTCTTTCCTGAGGTACTAGAATCATCTGCCAGGGGCTTTTTTGAAAGTTTTCTGCAAAAGAAACTATTGATGATTGTAAAGATGACCCAGTTCAAACCTTTCATCCACTTTTTGTCATTCTGTGGGTGAATAATGTTGAGTTTTCATTCCTCTTAGAACGTGGAAGTGGATAAATGTTTGTTGTAAAAAAGCGGTCACCCCCCAATCCCCAAAACAAAACCAACCCAAAACCCACAGCAAAAAGGACACTTCAGCCTGAATGTTACTCTTTGTTTTCCATTTGATTGTGTATTTCAATCTCAATTAATTACTTGGCTTCCAAATGTAAATCCTGTCCAGTTCTTTCCAATATAATATTTAATAGTCTGCCTTTCTACATAATCTTCTTAAGGATACAGATTGTTCTCACCATTCGTTTTCTGCACATTCGCAAATACAGTTGCACAGATTGGGAGCCTTATGCTTCTTTTCGTGGCCTTTAATCTCTTCCTTTAAAACTTCTAAATTTCTCTAGTCTCTTTGATCACAAATGCAATAAACCCATCCTCCCTACAGGTTTTAAGACAATCCCAAATTATGTGGCTAGGAGAGGCAATAAGAGAATTAGAGCTAAGAAAGACATCAGTCTTTTTCTCTAATGACTTCTTATTTTCTACTGTTGATAGAATGAGAACATTAAATCTCTATCTGCAGATCTTGTGAGGACAATCTTAAGAAGGGGAGAAGCATAAATGGTTAGACAGCAACTTCTGCCAGCAAAGGGAAGCGAGAATGTCATTCAACAAACTTTTCGAATGGAGGGAATGGTCAGAAATAGCCTAAGCAGCAAATAAAGCAGAGTTGAAATGGTTGAAAAATTCCTCCTGGTTTTGACAGATTGGCAAAGGCATCTGTCATCCCCACTTCTACCAAAGCATTTTAAAGAGAGAAAAAGAATTCTAAACTATATTACTTAGAGGTGCAATATGTGGATTCAGCCTGTGACGGAGCAGGGCACATTTCTTCAGATAAGATACTGGGTAATAGTCCCCATTTAGGTCCTTGTAAACATGCAGAGATACACATGGGCTTAAATTTATTAGGCTTGTACTTAAACCATGTACTGATTCAGAGCCTCAGCTGACCTGGTAATGTCCATTTAAGAGAATTCTCCATTATTTTATTGAAAGCTCAGAGATTATTATGAAATGCATCTTCTTCCAGAAATAGTTCAATTGATTTCATCAAGGGACTCCTCTGTATATCTGAATGTGTTCAGAAAAAAAGCAAGCGAGGAAGCTTATAAAAAGTGACCTATATTATATAAAACATAACAGTTATTTAAAAAAAATGTACCCCAGTTCTAAGAAAGAGCATTACAGGGCAAGGACCTCTCAGTTCCAATTTGTTCAAATAATCCACATAATTTATTGCAAAAGAGAAGGAAAATAAGTACACAAATAAAAACAGACTGGAGTTTCCTTTGTTCTTCTGCACTTCCAGACACATTAACGTTTTCTCTCCAGTTCAATAAGCATTCAGTGTTGCCTATTTTATTCCAGTACTGTTAACTACCAAGGCAATTAAAATTGTAGAGTCAAACTTCAGCTTTTCATTTATTCAAATTACGATTTTCTGAGCAATGTTCTTCTTACCAGCTGGTGTACTTGTTCTTTGTAGTCCTTTGCTCACTTTAAATGCTTTACATGGGCATTTCTTTCAGAAATAACAACGTAGCATTCTTGTTGCTGAATAGTTGCTGGCAGTTTGGGGTTTTTTTTAACTGTTCCTCTAGGATGAAATGAAATTAAATTAACAGAGCGTTTACTGCATTTATTTAAAAAAAAAGAAGACAAAAATATTTATGCTTCCTGGAAACGTTAGCTATAGAACATTGTGCCCCAAAGGACAAAAAACACATCGTTTGCTTGTTACTGATCTTGACAGTGTATGCACAGCTTCCCTGAATTTTATGGCACTCATTCATTATAGCCTTTTAACTAGTCCCTATTTCCAAGTCCCAGAATCATTAATAGAAATTTATTGCAGACATAGCATAAGTCACATGGGTCACTAAGATGCCTAAATAATTAAATTATGGACGCAGGCACAGAAGTACACTACACTGCAGATGGAAATGACCTGCATTTTCAAAATATACCCGTCATTTGCCTTGCATAGAACGAGAGAGTTGGTGTTTAAAACCAGGTCCTAAAGGATTAAAATCAAAATAAGTTTCCAGCTTCCACTGAGTGCAGTTCAACCAAAATTTTGATTCTCAGTATAACAGCAGCTTAGCCTGACTAGTGCACACAACACACTTGCATTGCATTATTGTCCCTAGAGTGGAAAGGTCAGAAACATCCAGAGTCCTGAATGTCAGGTTTTTTATGCAGTGGTGAAATCTAGTTCAAAGATTAGAGAACACAATAAAACCAGTCCTAGGTGTTGACTTTACTATTTGTGACCGAAGTCTCCGTTCCAGAAAGTGCAAGGAAGAAAAGCACTGTGAGCAGCAGGTGCTGAACACCATGTGTTATATTTAACAATTCACTGTCTCTTGATCTGACATAGTGGATTGTTCCCCAAAAAGTCTGTGGCATCATTCATTCAAACTGTTGTTAATCTTGCTTAGGAACAACGTGCCTATATAGGATCTGCAGAACACCCATTTTCATCCCCTTGATGTCTGCAGTAGGCTGGAGAATGTGACTGTGTCTCTGCAGAAACATCAGTATCTTACTTACATCCAAAGCTGTTCAGGCACAAGCCTAAAATACTCAAGGCATTGAAAATAGCTTGTAACCATTATTCTAGGTGGATTTTGTACGGGTGTTGTTCTGTTACAGTGTTAAATTTCTTTAACTCTTGCAGATTTTTGACAAAGAAGCTAAAGATCTGGAGCGAGAAGTCTGCTTTATTGACATTGCCAGCGATGAAATTCCTGAGCGCTATTACAAAGAATCAGAGGTAAGAGACAACTTGACTGTGAAATACTGAAGAAGGGAATGTAAGAGGCTGCAGGAAAACCTTGGTAGGAAATTAAAACAATTTTATTTTTGTATGAAATCTTGCTGGTCAGTAGTATTTAAAAAGCTTTTGATTAGAGCGGAAGCAAGTATCTAGATTGCCTGACACTTCCTTTTGCAGATGATTCCTCCAACCCTTTGAAATGCTTTCATCCTCTTATCAGAACATATCCTGTACCAGACCTTTGATATTCAGCTGAATTAATTCAAAGTAGAAAAGGATTTTTCTCTGAATCATGAAGCTCAGTTAAGTGTTCGCAGGTCTGAGCAGTTTAAAACATTACTGTTGTCCTTATTTGCATCCTGCCCTGACTCATAAGTCACATGAAGTGTCTAAGCCCAGGCGAAGGACAGATACACTGCAGTGAGAGTAGGGCTGTCGCACAGTTGGTCAGGGCCAACCATGACACAAGACCAGGAGGGACTGAAGTGTGCTACATACTGCAGTAAATCTGCCAAAGAGCATCAATGGCAGCGGATGCATTCTCTCTCTCCAAATTCCCTTGAAAATTGCTCCCATCTATATTTGATGGTGCACATCTCTGAAGAGCATGAGTTTTTAGGTCAATGCAATCACTGTTTTGAAATCAGCAACCACCATACAAATGAAGATGAGGTCTCAATATTTTAACCTCAGACTTGAAATATGATGGTTCGCAAGAAGTAGCTAGGGAGGAATGATCAGATCTATGCTTGCATTTAATTTTGGAGATATGATTTACCTCTGGAGCCAAGTATATATTCATAGCTGGCAATGAGTATGGCAGCTGTTTGACTATACAAAATGAGACTGCATCATCATTTTTAGGATAGAAAATGAAGAAGTGACAATGAATATATTTCTATACCACAGGAGACAGGATTTTCAGACTAAAAAAGTCAGGTACTTGTTACCTTCCATTTATAGATCCTATTTTAAATTTTATGTACGGGTCATAAAACAAAATTGAGTCTACAGTAGAATGAAAAGTAATTTTATTAGTTTCCTTAGATAATGAAACCCATCTGTTATGTACCAAAAATTATATAACACCTCATGAAACAGCTTATTGGTCCCATCATCTTATCTGAACTCCACGGTCTTCTGATTCCATTTGGGAATGACTGCTGCTATTGAACGGGTCAGCATCTGACTGTGTTTTAAAGAAATCATGTCAGATTTTTCATCTCAGTGTGTGCACTTTCAGAAATTGTGAACAGGAAGGTAACATCTAGCTTTGCAGCTTTCCTCCCCATTTTTAATAGCCAACTATTAAGCCTAATTTCAATATGATTAATCTTATCATATAGAAAAAAAAACAGCCTCATGTTGAGTGAGAAAAGCATTTCAGAGTCTTTGTGTTGTTATTTCAAAGACAAATCTAGAGACTCGATTCCAAGCAAAATGGAATTTTATATGGGTTTAAACAACAAAAATAGCCCAGCATCTGTTGTTTTTTTCTCTACTGATGGATGATTTGTATGTTAGCTACCAAATCCTGTTTCAGAATTCATACAAAATAGTAAGAACACCTCAGCATTTAACTGTGCACTTTCTGTAACTGGTACTGAATTAATAGTTGAATTCAGTATCTTCCAAAATTTACAAACTATGGGGTTTTTATGCTACCATATGATGAATATGAAGCCAAATTCCCATTTCTGATGTGGCCTTTTACATAATTTAGGAACTATAAAAAGACTTTTAATGTTTGTAAATGTAATTTCCGTCTGTTTTCAATCAGAACAGCATAAAAAAGTAACTCCATGTAAATGACAAATGGTCTGTTTTCCAAATAATAGTTTTAGAGTTAAGTAAAAACCATTTACAGTAAGCTTTTGAAAGGTATTCTAGTTACACTAGTAACAATTTGGCTGCTTTTAGATCATTTAATCTGAATTGATACTAAATTTAAAGATTAAAACTGAAGTTACAATCCTCAGGATTTAAGAATTAGATCCCACAGGATAAGTGTTCTGACTCCGATCCAGGAAGACTAATGAGAATGGTTTGAAGTCATGAATGATGTTAGTAATCTCTTCATTTCGACGGACCTTTCACATGCTGAAAATTAAGCAAGTTCTGTATCAGGGTCAGGATACTTAGTGCCTTCTAGAAATGAGCTTTAGATTTCTTTTATAACATGATTTATAGCACCCCCCTTCAATTAAAACACACTTCCGTTTTTAACTGCAATTTTCATTCTTTAGTTGTCTTACTGTATATTAGAGAAGTAGCTTAAATAATTTAAACCTTTCACACACTACTTCAACTGCTTGCTCTTTGTTAGTGCTGATGAGCCTGCTTGTAGAGGGAGATTTCTGATGTGATCAGACAGCACTAATTACATAGTTGCTGTTAAGCAAGCCTTTGTGATTTCAGTTATTTTTAGCTTTAAAGTGTCCAGTTATCCTTCATAAACTGTTTGGGTCAATATCAGAAGTTTTTCAGAGCCCTGTGTATGAAAAGCCCCTTTGTACGATTTGACTGCGACCTTTCTTTGAGTTAGTGCATCAAATAACTCATTGATTATAAAAGAATGAACCACGGCAGCTTTCGTGTTGTTTTTCTCATAAACAGAAGATGTGGTTGTGCCTGTATGACACCGATATCATCAATAGAGGTAATAATATTGCAGTTACCACAGGAGGGGTCAGGAGATAGCCAAGGGACCCACATAGCATTGGTACAAACAAGTGAAGCCACCATTCTCTGCTTCCTAGCACCTATGATCTAAAAAACTATTTTCCAGTTGCACTGACATGTATCTTATAAACAAATCTATATTCTTCCTTCCATTGTGACTTACAGAATAATGATTCACACAGAAAAAGGCAAAATGTGTCAAGTATCTTCGTATGTATAATGTTCCATTTGAATTACATAACTCGTTTTGACTTGTACTGGTACTGATGAGAAGGAAAAGTGTTCCATGGAAATGTCATGAGAGTTGAAAGGAAAGTGATGGAATTCAACTTTGTACATATCTGCTTTTCTTCTCCTCTTATATATTAACTAAAATTGAAAAATAAAAAAAATACAGTTAGCTGGAGGCTTAAGGAGAGTTGCTGTTTCACTGAGGAACACTTTACAGGAGCCTCTGCCAATAATACTAAATGATCTCTTGACCAGAATCATCCAAGTGATTTGAATTCCCTTGAGAACAGAGGGCTTATCAGTCAGGGTATGCACAAAGGACTAAATCACCAAATAAATAGTGAATCAGAAGATAGTTTTGTTGGCTACTATAAACACATACACAGAGTCAAATTCTGTCTTCCATGAAGGTATACTGATTTCTGCTGTCAAAAGAGCGGCTCTTGTAGAAGACTGGAGGAGGTATAACCGCAGCAATTCTGGGTATGAAAAAGTAGATGACTTAATTTTAACTTAATGACCATCTACGAACTTCATTGTGAAGTAGCCAGCAGAGTACTCAACAGTGCTGTTCACATCTCAATATAGCTTTTTTTTACAAGCATGGACCTAAAAATCCTTCAACTTTTAAGATGTTTAAGTATGAGGTTCCAAATTGAGAAAGCTTGAATGTAGATCCAAGCTAACAGCTTTGCCTGTTTTTCTGGAAGGAGTCACATATGCTTCCAAAGCTGAACGTACGTATTACATTGAATACAGAATGTTATGTTTCTATATAAAAAATGTCCAAGCCTACAGGTAAGAGTAGTTGTACATTTTGTAAAGTCATTTCCTTGTGACTTTACCGTCAATGAATATGTATCACCAGCCATCATGTATTCCCCATATAGACATATATATTTATCTGAATTATAGACAATAATAAAACTGAGCTCTGCAGAAGAGCGGGGGCCTCAAGTGAATCATTCACTGAAATCAAACATTTACTGTAGATGTGAGCTACTAAGCAAAATGTTCTTTGCCACCATAGTCAAGTTCTAAAAATTAAGTGTTTCATTTCCTGTTTACTACAAAGCAGTTGAGAGTTGGACAAATGGAATAAACTTTTAAAGTTGCCTCCAAACAGAAAGATTTCATGCAGCTCCTGCAGTCATCTTCTTCAGTTGCTGTCTTTTTTGACTCGAGTACAGCTTCACTGTAACAGGTCCAGCTTACTCCTGTCCCGGTGCTTTCAGAATAACAAAACCTCTATCATATTACAGAGCCAGAAAATTATGGTAGTTGAAATAATCCAGCTGCCTCAGCCCCCACAGTGAATGTGTCAGTACAGTAGTTCAGTACAGGGCACAGCAAAAACAGATGAAAATTTCCTTTTCCTTAGTGACTTCAGTTGTGAGCTTACATAAAGTCTGGCTGGATTATCATATTTTAGCACCTCGGAACTGTCCCAGTATTTACAGTTCTGATGTATTTAGCTGGCTCTTCCAGAAAACACATTTTAATGGAAAATCCAAGATGAGAAAAAAAATATATTTTTAAAAAATTACTCCACATAACTCTCTATAGTAGCATCTTTACATCAACAAATCTTTCCAGAGCCCCAGCTATATCAGCTGAGATCCAAAACCTAGCAACTACAGCTGATGGTGAAATATCACATCACATGTATTAAAACCGTGAAGGATTGCTTCTGAAATTCAATATCAAACAAATTGGTCTTTAGCATAAAGGGGGAAAGAAAATGACTGCACTTTAAAAGCACAGTGGTGGAATATATTGCAATAGGAGTCTGAAAAAACAATTCCATGCATTAAAAGGAAGGAAGGAAAGAAGGAAGGAAGGATCTGTTTCTGGGCCATCTGAGTTCCTTCCAGTAAGAGAACAGGATGCACGGGCGCAAGCACAGTGCACTTTCACCTCTGCAGAGCATATTCAGCTTGGGGATCTTTTTCCATGCTAAATGCCCGTACAACCAGCAAGTCATTTTTCAAGACAGACCAGTGACAAGGTGAGCAAGGTGTTCCCTGCAGGCTTCCAGCATACAGACAAAGGAGGTGTTGCCAGCTGCAGAATAGTATGGGATCTTCAAATCATGCCTGATACCACGGCAAAGCTAGGGGAAAGCATGCACATTTCGATTTGCAAGTTTGCTGTATTTCCTTGTATTTATGTATTTCCTTGTTTAAGTAAAAAAACCAGCATTTCAGAATGACATCTGAAAAGGCATTGCAACAACCCAGTGCCATATTGTCAACGTGCTGGTGTTTGCCTCCTGGAAAGGGGGTTACAGTTCCACATCTGATGCCCATGACGTCTGCAGCCTGTGAGGAAGGTTAAGTAAATAAATGCTAAATAATGGAATCTCTAACAAGAAGTATGCTGAGCTGGGAACTGCCAGAAGTGGCCTAAGTAAGAAACACTGAGACAGTACTACCTTTGAAATCATATCCATCACACTGTGGCTTTTATTTTCTTTTATTGTAATTTTACATTTTATTCTCAAATACGCCCAGCTCACGGGTAATGATGTTTCTGCTACGTTAGCAGAAGTGCTATTTTTAAATCACTCTGCACCTGGCAATAATGTATTGCAAATACAGAGTAGGTTTTGCTCCTCTGTAGCAAAAGGATTTGCCAGATGGGCTTTCCTAATAAATTGTGTCTGATAAAAGGACAAGAAGGTTATTTAAACAAAAAGATTTTAGCTATGCCATTACATTTAAAACAGATTGAGGATTTTGCCAGTAGATAAATTAACGGGGAAACAATGAATAGATGCAGTATTCTTTGGATGATGGCTTCTCTAGAAAGGAAGGCACAAGTGGCTAAAGGCAAAAATAATGCAAGCACAAAATTAATGATCTAACTAATAACATAAAAAGGAGGTCAGACCAAAGATCAGCTTGCCCAGTTTCCAGTCACGGTGTTTCAAACTCACGTGTGCCACAGCTCCTGCCTAGCAAATATCCTAGGCAGTTCCTTCCAGGCTTCTTCACTCCAGCCTGGTGCCTCTGGTAGATGTTTTGCAGATTTCAAAGGAAGAGTAAAGAACGACCATGATCTGGTACAGGCAGATTCTCAGCCTTTCCTTCTGGGACCCGGAGAGGCGTGAGCATGGCATGAGTCTAATTTGTTCCCTCTGACAAACCTAATCAGTGAGCTACAGCATGGAGGTCAGGAGGAGGAGCAGTGCTGTGTCCCGGTGTTATTTCTACTTGCATTCAATAGAAAATTGTCATCCCTGCTTGCTTTTTTTTGAAGGACTTTATATGCCTGATTGCAGAAAGGATTCCAGGCTGTCAATCTTAATCTGCCAATTTAAAGCCATGAATTAGGCACATAGAATCATTCTGGGTTGTGGCTTTCATGTTAAAGTTCTCATTGATTTCAGTGGGCTTTGGATCAGACATTGAAGAGTAAAAAAAATAGCAGTTCTGGTCACACCAAAGGTGTTTCTGGCGTGGTATGCTCCCTGTGGCTGTGGCTAATAGCAGAGGCCTAGGAAAGTTGTAAATATATGCAAAATATAGAGATAAATGAAAATATTCTTCCCCTAAATACTTCCTTGTAGGAACCAGAGCACAAGCAATTGCTGAGCCAGAATTTGTGTCTTTCTAATTGTCCAAGACTGTTTGAAACACCTCGTTTTTTAGCATTTGGGTAAAAAGCCCAGTGATGTTAGTTTTACTGAAGATAACCACTCACGTATGTAAAACACTCGTGCTCTTTGAATTGATGGTGCAGAGATTAAACTCTCAAGTTCACTTTGTTTGATGTTGCTGCGTGTCTCAGGTCCCACTTCTCAGCTTATACGCAGGCTTTGAGTTTTAGCTCACCTGAGCAAGCAGTCAGTAAAATCTTTAACATCTTGATTTTTCATACAGCAGTCTGGAAATCTCTTCCTCTGAATTCTTCCTGTTTCCTGGCTTCTATTCATCAGTCAACAGTTTTAGAGTATCAATACGTTAAAGTTTTCAGAAAGGTAGGAATTTCCATAAAAGCTATTAGATGGAAGTTGCCCAAACTGCTCATCATTTCTTGGCTCTTTGCTTGAAACTGTCCAGCCAATTTGTGTCCAAACATCATGTCCTTCAAGAAAAATGGATGTGATTAAGGGAAGCAAAGGTGCCATCTCTGGGTGTTGTTAAAGGAACAATGAGGAGTGATGTCATGGATGAATTGCATTGCAGGAGGTGGATTATTTGTGGGACACCGATTTAAGAATGATTTCCACTATGAATCCCCTTGTCACTTGGGTTAACTTCACAAAAACAAAACAAAACAAAGCAAAACAACTGCTTTCACAGCATCCAGGGGGTTCTTGCAGTTTGAACAAGACACAAGTTTTATGCGTGACTGAGCAGTCATGCCGGGTAGCGGTTTATTATTTAATTTTTATTTATAAATTCTGAATTCTTGATACTTACTCAAATTCATTACATTAAATCCCTTTGGACTGCATTGAAGTTATTCCATTAAAGGTCTGGTTATGGCCACAGGGATCTACAGTATCTATGCGTAACACTCAGTATTATGAACGCGCGTATCTGAAATGCTTAATCAAGACGATGGTTCCGTCACACCAGCACCTGTGTGTCTGTAAGAAACAGCAGATCCTTCCTTACAGTAAACTCATTTTCCTTTGATTTTCCTTTTTTTTCCCTTTCTGAATATTATATCTTAGTTCTTCCCGTTTTTATTTTTTCTTTTTATTGTTATATTGATTGCTTCAGGCGATAATGAGTTATAAACCAACTCTTTCAACCAGAAAATATCTAGATCAACCCGAGGTCAAGCTGTACTGAGTGAGAAGATTAGCAACAGCATGTGACTATGAGTTGTGATATACAGTGGTATGTTGCTCTGATATATGATGACGCTGAATTGTTTTTATGGTGATTTAATGTTGAAACCTTATTATACTGCGAACTTAAAAGTTTGTATTTAGAAAAGAACATATCAGCAATAAAAGCAATGACTTGCACAAAGAAAGAAGAGTTATCACCTCATTAGAGCTTTGTAAAGAAGCTTTACTGACAGAGCTTCAGTTTCTGGATAAAATCAGAAGCCAAGCTAGGAGATAACTAAACATTAGAAAAAAAGGAATGCTGAATGATATATAAGCTCACACTGAATGAAAGAAAATTAAGATCAGTGTAGTCTTACCAATATTTTGATAGTTTTTCTCCTGATTGTCTTCCATTTAGTGCATAATTTAAGCACATACTTAAATACGTGTTCAACTGCTTTTATAACAAAAGATGGATTTAAAAGATCTTCCCAGATCTCAGCTTTGTGGAAGGCAGTGCAGATAAGCACTGGTGCTTATTCTTGAAGACAGATTTCAGAAGCCACACTGTGAATTTACTGAAACTACATTATTTTCAAGTTTTGTAAATTAGTGCTTAACTGTAAATTATTTCTGTTTACAAGATGTAATTAAGTGGGATTGGACTTAAAGTGAAATGCAATTATACCAATATGGAAAATAACACTTTGATAGATAAAACTGTATCTTATACAGATAAAAGTAAACTTTAAAGATGAACTAATGTCCTTACTGGGTTTTTTTTGTCTTGCTGTTGTAATTTCAACAGCAATTTATTGGATTTTCCAGTTCATAAAAGAGAGAGTTGAAATCAGTCTGTGTTTTGCCCATAACTCAGTTGTAACCAGCAATGAATAAATTGGGGAAGTTTCATACTTAGCTGACCACCTGGTTATAGAAGTTCATTTAAAATTGAAAATGGCATTGTCAGGGTCACATCAGTGTTGATGTTTCAAAGCTCAAATGGGACATGGTTTCAGGAAGACAGGCATGGGTAGAAATTATTAGTAAGTCACACTGAGGCAGTGGTGGAAAAGCAAGCTCTGAAGAAGCAGGTTGGTTTTTTTTTTTCCAAAGGCCATAAATAACACTTGGAGTGCATTGTATTGTGATGACTTGCAATAACATATTTTCCTATAGCAGAAAATGTCCTAGATGATATGATTGTCAAAGCATCCCCAAGAATATGCTGCCATCGATTCACTGGCTGTTGGATAAAAGACAGGATTGAATTTTAGTCTATCCTAGTGCTTATTAAATCAATTTCATTTTATTTTTTCATAATATTAATTAGCATGTTTTCATATTTTATGTCTTATCAAAACATGTACTTTAGCAAACTGACAAACAGGGCTTCCTCTCCTGCATTTCCCAGTATGTTTTCTTTGTTTTTCAGGATCCTAAATATTTCAAGTCACAGAAGACTGGAAGAGGCCAATTAAAAGAAGGCTGGAGAGAGACCCATCAGCCAATTATGTGCTCCTACAAACTTGTGACTGTGAAATTTGAAGTCTGGGGACTTCAAACCAGAGTAGAGCAATTTGTACACAAGGTGGGTGAATCAGGAGCTGTTAATCCTTCACAGAAGCAGAACTTGAGCACTACCCTGCGCAGGGATGCAGCTATGGCTGTGTAGAGGCCCAGGAGCGTAGCTGAGTCTGCTCTCAGACCTCTCGGAAGATCTGAAAGGTCTGGAGCAGAACCAAAGAATTCACCTCTAGGTGTAAACTTGACAAAGCCTGGAGCTGCTCAGGTGTAAGATTGAGAAAAAGTATCAATAACATTTTTGATACTGTGAGAAGTATTTGAGCTAAAGTATTTCTGAGTATACATGAGTACCGTACACTTAGCAACCATGTGCAGAATGTCTTAGAAAGGAGGTAGTGGGCAAGTTTTCCAATCGGTCTACTAAAAAATTAATTAACAACAGAATGATAATGTTTTTCAAAGTATTGACCTTCCATGTGTTTAAAAAACTAACAAGGAAAAATAATTGCAGAACATCTGATTGCCCAAAGATTAATGGATTCTGTACACATCCCCAAATGCCTTCCCATGCTAGTCAAAGCCATGCCAATGTCATCCCATCCTGGCAACAGATCCACTTCAAGTGGGAGGTTGGACTACAAGACCTTCAGGATGTCTGACTCTCTAGGGCATGTCTCTTTAGAGACAAAACCATCAGAATATTTTGCACTTTAAATCATGTTGAAAGACAATAGTGTTGCTTTTGTACAGTGCTTTGTATCTGCAGAGGTATAACCTTTCCTTTGTTTCCCAGGTGGTCAGAGATATACTATTGATCGGTCACCGGCAGGCTTTTGCCTGGGTTGATGAGTGGTATGGTAAGTATTCTCCAAATTGAGCCCATTTCAATGGGCTCCTGCAAAGCTTAGGACATTTAACAGGTTTCTGTTTGCTTTTGTGGACCTACATCCTAGTCTAAATTGTTCATGAGAGAGATGGATCTGTATTCAGTTTCTCTGGAACATATGGAGCTGATCTCCAGCAGGTTCTTTGTACAAGAGCAGGCTGTTATTTTAGGCAGCCAGCAGGCAACATACAGGGATACCTTTACATCCCATACATCTCAGTGTATATACATCAGTGCCATCACCCTGCATTGCAGGCAGATAGGAGCTGCCCCTGCCAAGAGTCATCTATACGGACAACCGCATGCAGGTTTCAATACAGCTTCTTGCTAAGACTGCAGTAACATGCAGTCATTTTCATACTGCAAACTTCTAGGGCCTCTGATCCAATACAATTTCAGCTTTTTAGGAAAGCTTTAAACTGTTAATATGGATTGTAATAAAGAAAAGACAGAGCTCTAACATCCCTTCTGAAAAATGGATAGAAATGTAAAACCTACTGGGTCTGATTCAGCAGCAGCTGCATGCAAAAACTGTTCTGAATCCATGAACCAGCTGTAGGAATGGGCACTTTGAATAGTACAGAGTAATCTGAATATCAAAACAGCCAATCTTACTTTATAAAATAAGCTCACGGATTTTGTGCTTTTCACATGTATTTTCAGTAAGATGTATCCATAATCATAGATCCTTGTAGAACAGTTTCTAAGAGTTTCCTGTAACATATAATAAGAATTTGGGAATATATTTAGGATATTTATTTAGACTGTCCTTAAGCTCCAGGAAACACCATTTTGGGCATTTCATGGATAAGAACGACACCTGTCTTTCATCAAAACACAGAAATGTTCTGCATTGCTTAAAAATAGTCAATTAGCCCAGCTGGTGCAAACATCTCCAGTGACTTCATAGACCTGCAGGACTTTACACGAGAATCTAACCACAAACTCATGGTGCTGATTTTTTGAAAATGCAGAAAAACTTGCTTTTGATATCACAATGTTCCTCTAAATTTAACAGCACATGAAAATCTTATGTTGTAATGATCATAAAAATACTGACATCTACTAAAACTGGTTAGAGAACTTTGTATCTGGTAAGAAAGAGTTCTCAAGAGATTTGTTTTTCCCTTTTTTTTAGCTGAAATATAGTGATCTGTTATTTTCCCTGCATGAAGTCAGGGAAACTGATTACTTTACATAAAAAGCTTGACTTCATGTAAAAATTGAGCCCACAAATTTGCCCAAAATCCACCCAAAATATCTATTAAAGTGAGACATAAAGAAATGTTACTGGGAAGCAGAGAATCATTTGCACTTTAGCAGAGTTATTGATACTGATAATGAGTGAGTAATCATGAAGTTAAACATACGAAATAAGTTTAGCCCAAAACCACTTAACCACAGATTTTCCAGTTTGATTCTGAATGCACCCTGTAAAAAATACTCTTTCCACAAATTAAATATTGTGATACACAATTATCTTTACGGATTTTTACCGTCACAGTGAGTCTTTTTACTAAATAATATCGTGTGCTTTTAGAACTTATTTATCAGGCTAAGTACAAAACCTAAAAAATCTGGGCTTGCTAAAATAGATATGAATAATATAGCAAGATTTATTTAAAAAAAGTGCAGAAAGTTAGTTTAGTGCTGTCTGCACTTCTAGTCCTCTTACTGCTGTGCTGTTCTGAAGTAGGACAATGGGTAAGACTGACTAGAAACTGAGTATTTCATAAACCAAAAGGAGTGACATCCAATATTTAAACATCCAGGTCACTTTGATACATAGGATCTGTAAAACTCTTGTGGTCCTGCTCTCGACATGTTTATGTGTGTAGGGAGAGATTTTCAAAAGTATAATTTTTAAAGCATGTTTGCCTTCAATGTGCCTATTACCATTTTTTGAGATAAAAGTTTGAGAGAGACTTGGGAGACGATGTTAGTCAGCTAAACTGGATCAAATAATCAGTGTAATAAAATCAATTATTAAATAACGTTATGTTATGGATGTTAGTGACTGATTACTGTTACCTGTTCTGTAAGTATGAATGTGTCTTGTCATTAAATTTACTAACCTGTATTTAGCTTTACTATTAAGAAAATCTATTTTCACAGTGTTATTTACTAATAAAGAGCATGTTCTCTGCTTGGCAAAATGCATCCTTAGCATGTTATTGACATGGCTTATGAGCTTGTTTTTCATTCCAGATAATAGTAAAAGGCTGAAAGAGTAGGAGTTAGTGGTATTCCATGTTTCTTCTGTATCAAAATTTGAGACTGCATTTCATTTTCACTGATGAAGTATGACATTGTGCTACTGGTATAACAGCTAAAGTTAAATCTTTCCTGAAAAGCTGTCGCATAAAATGCAGCAAGAGCCTCGTATCACATAACAAGGAGTGGTGTGATATAAGAAGTTGCAAATCCAAGTGGCACATAATAAACCTGAGAATAATAATAGCCTCGAGAACAAAAACACAGTGTACTTTACCAGCAGTGGTACACGTTTCCAAGTACACTGTGCTAATAAAATGTTATTTAAGTTTTATAAGTAAAAAGTTGATGCCTATTTTCATGAAGCTCTGAAGCTACCAAACCATTGTAAAGAACAGCCCAAAATTCCGACAGCCTTCGTGATCACTTACACCTTACTCAAGTAGATTTATTGAAAGCATGGGAATACTCAGAAGAGTAAGGTCACAAGTCAATTAATTGGATCCTTTAAGTTTTTACTGGAAGTGTGGTTTATGACAAATCTTTTTGCAATCTGGAATAATTGCTTTGAGTTACATAGCAAGCACCTAACACGTTATGCACTAGTTTGACAACATCAGGCATGCCTAGACAATGATAAATGATCCTACCGGTAGAATCAGCCTGATTTATAGAATATTTCTAATTCTTATAATTCATTAAATTGCTTGAGGCTACAAAACTGTTAACGTATTCACTATTAATTCATTTAGCAGTATAATTAAATGTTAGTTTCTGGAATCCAAGCTGATGTGTGCTCTAACAGTAAGAATGTTTGCTGGTTATGAGATGTACTATGCAAAGATAACATAAAATCTTTTTGATAGTGCCTGGAAAGGTAAGTAAATATTTATAATATTTCTGTATCTATCCTTTATTCCAAGGGATCTTCTAAAATCTTTTTAGAAGATTTGGCTTTTGCCAAGGCCTGCACTTCAAAACTTTTTTCCTACCTTATGTTACACGGACACTCCTAAACAATTTCCACTCCTTCCTGTTCTCTGACTCCCTTTGACTTCACCTTCTTGCACCTTCCTTGGCTGATCTAACTACCTTTATGAGTCAATTTTCATAAAGTTAGTTGCTCCATGCTTTTTTTAAAATCCTTTTTTGGCTTCTGCTAAAAGATTACGCGTTCTTAGAACCTTCTCCTTAAAAAAAAGAAATATTAAAAAATAACTTTGCACTGAATCAATGGAAAATGCCAACAATTTTGAACTTTTTACAGATATGACTATGGATGATGTTCGAGAATACGAGAAAAATATGCATGAAAAAACCAACATTAAAGTTTGCAACCAACATTCATCTACTGTGGATGAAATAGAGAGCCATGCCAAAGCAAGAGTATGTCAATTTTTAAAACATATTGCCCACCTTCAGCTAATACAACTGCACAGATCAGAGAGGAGCAACCAACTGATCTTGCTGACCAGTCAGTGGAATTTTGGGAAGGTTTTGCTTCAGTAGGAACAGAATCTTTCTCCATGAAGTGCAATCCTGCCTTTCCTTTGCACTGTAAACTGCCACTGATGTAAGAAAGGGTGGGGTTGGGCTCATTATGGCTCCTTGTCTTCCAGGAAAACACAATTCTCAAATTTCAGTTGAATGCATAAAGAGGAAGTTAAATAGGAGTTTTACTTTCTATTATTTGAATAGTTAAAAAATGCAAGAGTTCAGAGTGCTTCAGTCAAAAAGCCAAGAACATGGGGAGTGGAAAAATTCTATGGGACTGATAAAACTGTTTGCTTCACCAGGAAAAAAAAAAGAGCTAATGAATTATTCAGTATTTTCAAACTAATTTTAATGTTGTCATTGATTAGCTACCAACAAGGTGAGAAGTAGTTTCGGAAGTATGTAGTAGCACTTTGTGGAGAAGGGCAGGTTTCTTGGTAGGTTCTTCTGTTCAGAGTGTGGAAACTTCATAAAGTATTTAAATTCCTAATCTGGGCCCCTCAAGTGGAGGGTGAAATTAGAAATTACTGCTGTCTGCAAATAGAAAAGATGTAGTGATCTTTGCTTTCGAGATGTTATTATTCCTTTTTTTCTACGAGCTGCATTGTAGAATTCATGATGGTTTTAGTCATTGAACTAGTGTGGGGTGAGGCCTGGAGGGTCTTGCAAAGATTTGCAAAGGTCTTGAGGTGTTTCCTTTGTTCTTACTCAGCAAAAATTGTCACCAACCTGAGAAGATGTTGTCTAAGTAATAACCAGGAAGATGAAGGTGATTCTTGTGTTTGTAATGCTGCAGCTCCATTCACATCAAGGTTACTCCACAGCTGAGCTGTAAATTGGGAATCAGTTCAGGTTTTGGCTTTGAATGAAGTCTGCTGGGTGTAGTTCCAAAATTGTCATTGAGGTCAGCACAGAATTTGTCATTAATGAAAAAAAAAGAGAGTCTGAGCCATCTTAGCTCAGAGTAAGGGCTTGTTTTACTTGAGTGCTTATCAGAAGCGAATTTAAAGCGAGCGTAAGCTAAAAAGCCAAAGTCAGCTGAAGGGACAATAAGTATTTCATGTCTGAATTTGAAATGGATAGTCTTGGAGAACGCCACTTCCTAAGACTTTAATCAATCTTCACTGAAATGGC